CGGGCCGGGGGCACCGCCGGGCCCGGGGCCGTGAGGCGGGCCGGGGGCACCGCCGGGCCGGGGGCACCGCCGGGCCCGGGGCCGTGAGGCGGGCCCGGGGCCGCCTCGGCCCCGCGGCCGCTCGCTCTCCGCCCGCCTGCACCGGGGGCCTGGCCGGGCCGGGCCCCCCGTCCCACCGGCGGCAGCATTACCGGGTACAGGTAGAGCACGGCGCCCACGAGGATGAGCAGGAAAGTGACGGCGAAGATGGCGAAGTCCAGCATGGCCAGGCCGGGGCGGCGGAGCGGCGGCGGCTCGGCCCCACCCCGGGGCCGCCGGCGGGGCAGGAAGGGGCGGACCCGGCTGGGCTGGGAGCGGGGCTCGGCTCGGCGGGGCTCGGCATGGGGGGCCCGCGGCGCCTGCTGCTGATCTCCAACTCCACCCTGCACGGAGGGGGGTACCTGGGCCACTGCCAGCAGCACATCCAGAGCTTCCTCGGGCAGTAAGCGCCGCCAGCGCCGCGGGAGCGCGCCCGGCCCCCGCCGCCGCCGCGCCGACCGCGCTCTCCCCTCTTCTCTCCCAGGAAGGTGAAGCGGGTGCTGTTCATCCCCTACGCCCTGCACGACCGCGACGCCTACGCCCGCACGGCCAGGGAGAAGTTTGAAAGCCTGGGTAAGGCTGGCCCGGGGCTGCGGAGCCGGCTGCGGGCACGGAGCGCCCCGGGACGGCCGCGCTGCGGCCCGCGGGCAGCGGGCTGGGCTGGGCTGGGCTGGACTGGGATGGGATGGGATGGGCTGGGATGGGCTGGGATGGGATGGGATGGACTGGGATGGGATGGGATGGGATGGGCTGGGATGGGATGGGATGGGATGGGCTGGGATGGGCTGGGATGGACTGGGCTGGGATGGGCTGGGATGGACTGCTGCCGTACGGGCAGCAAGGGCAGGGAGCAGCAGCAGCCGGCTGCGGACTTCTGCATGGAAGGAGATGTTTTAGAGGCCTCCAGAAGAAATCCTGCAGCAAACACTTCTCACTCCAGGGAGGAAGATTTTTTCCCTAACTATTAAGTGGCATCTTTTTATCCTTCTTAATCACATGAGGGAACATTTCTTCCCATATATCTTAAACCTCTGTTCAAGCCACTGGTTTTAAGGGAAGACTATTACTTAAAGCATCTCAAGGAGCCAGATAGTTCCATGATGGACAGCAGGTGAACTTTGCTTGGAGCAAAGATCTCTGCAGAGCAGTCTACAGCAGGAACTCAACCTAGTATCTCTCACTATTAAGGGTAACTTTGGACACGTTAGTGTAGTAATAATCAGTACTCACTTCCCTGGGCAGCACATTTTACTCCATGACTTGAGGAAGATTGCTGTTATCAAATGCTTTTGTTCTTTTGTCTCTCTCAATACTTCAGTGAACCCCAGCAAGGCAAATCTATCAAAGTCAGACATTTCTAAAAAAAACAATACTCAGATCAGGTATTTGCACAAGCAATGCTAGAACCAGCACATCCTGTCAGACTTCAGCACAGCCAAGCTGAGGACTAACAGCTTTTCCCTCATTTTCTAGTTACCTGGTAATGCTCAACAGGATATTGTGATTCGGCCTGCACCTGAGTGAAATGCTCTGCTTCTAGATACTGAATGCATATTTCTACAAAACAAATATTTCCTTTTGTACAGCTGGATGTTGAAGCCCTGCACTAATGTAGGATGTACACTCTTACATTGTAGCGTTCTCTGAAATTTCCCTGATTGAGACATTTGACTCAGGGTTGGAGGAGGTGGGCAGGGAGGGATTGAACATATCCCATTCTTCCACCAAACTGACATGGCAAAGGTAAATACTTTTTCATTTAAGGTTATGGGCTGGACAGCATTCATGAATCTGGTGATCCAGTGGAAGCTGTAAGGAAATCTGAAGCAATATTTATTGGTAAGTTTTACTTCTTATTCCCCAGTGAAAGTTTATATAGGGCACTGGATTAGTCCTGCACAGAGGTGGCACTGGAGACCAACAATTAAGCAGTTAGACCTAGTAATTAGAAACTACAGAAGACAGTAACTGGGACCCCTAAGACCCTATATTTAGTGGTGGGCTGGGAAGTAGATTTATTAATGAAACTTCATCTCCAGTAAATTCCAAATTATTATTTTGAACAGTACCTCAGTGTAAAAACATGATCATAACATCTGTATCATCACTTTAGCAAGCCCAAGAGTTCTAGTCCTAATACCATGGTCCTGGGTATTGGAAGAGATGTCACTGTCAGACAGCAGCAGCCTTACAAGGATGACTCAGGGCATGCCCATGGCCTGTCCAGTGACCATTCTTCTGAAGCTTCTGGTTTTACTGCTTCTCAAAGTAGGATACTGCCCTGAAAAGAGCATAGAACTCATTGCACCTGCCGGGTTTGTAAAGGTTTAAATTAAAACTGATGGTGAACGCATGTAAAATGAGCTGAACTTTCTTTCTGCAGGAGGTGGGAACACATTCCGTCTCCTGAAAGCTCTTTATGACAACAGTCTGATACATGAGATCAGGAAGAGAGTGCTTGAGGTAAAATTACAGATTGTGGCCAAGCATGGAATGGCTGGATCTCACGCATGAGCTTTTGTTCAGACAAATCCAGGCTGATTCTGCATTTTTATCTCTAATATACTTCAGATGTCGAGCCATCTCAAACAGCCTGGTGAACTGAAAACCATGGCCAAATAAGGCTATCACTGAGTCATTGAAAAGACTTAAGGTCAGCAGTCTGTCTTCCTAGAGCTGTTTTCTAGATGCTGGGTTGCAAGACCTTGGGATGTACAATTCTACACAGAACCCTAGAAGTAAATCCCTCAAAATACTAGTCAAAAGACCAGTGCAGGATTTAATCTATGTCTAGAAACCCTGTTTTTCAGCTTGAGATGTCCACTTCATATCTCGTTGATATGTGTTCATGTTGCAGGTTGTTTGCTAATAAAGTGGTGATAAACTTGGATCCATACGTGCCTTTCAGACAGTGTCCTGTTGATGTTAGAAATTATGTAAATTTTTTTTTATCTCATTGGAACTGAGAGGTGTCAGTGCCATTAAGCCCCTCTGGTCAGCAGCACCAATCTAGTTGGTGAATCTCATAAGGCACAGCAAAGATACACCATCTCTGGAGGAGAAGAGAAGCAACGTGTTCCCTAGCAATGTAGAATTGCAAATGACTTTATGCAGATTTATACATAAGCCACAGTATGGCCAGCTGCCAAGAATAAAGGTTAGCTAGGCTTATCTTAATATATAGAAATTCAACGTCTATTGTGGGAATGAAAGCCAGAAAATGTCCAAATTCCAGTTGTCTGGATAACTACTTGGTTAAATTACCACCAGTTGTCTCAAGCCAGCTCTATTTTTACAAATTGTTCAGCATTACCTGTATAGTTGCATATTTATGTGGCATTCTTCTATGTACAGCACAGTACTCAGTACTAATAGCTGAACAGTGCTGAACTGGTCTTGTACTGGTAAGCTGATGCTGTGACTACGTTGCACTGAGCTTTCAATGGCCTATTCCCCCAGAAGCTAGATAAAAGCCAGTTCAGTTATTTCCTGTAACTGCAATAGAGGCAAAGTCTCTCCTCTTAATAGCAAAGTCCAACATGCACTGACAGCCTCGTAGATTCTCTCTTGGGGGGTCACAGAGTTGTAAGTACAAGGCAAGGCAGCAGTTCTCTGACACAGAGAAGTTTCTGCCCAGCTTAGAACCTTCTTGTTCTGCTTTTCACCTGTAAAGTTAGAGGTGAGTTTCCAGTGAGAGAAGCTGGAAGGACTAAGTCTGATCTGACTGATGGGTTTCTGGGATTTATAGGAGATGCTATAAAACCGAGTTCCTAGTTGTGATAAATGCAGATTGATTGTTGCTTTTGTCTTTCAGGATGGGATTCCTTACATGGGATCCAGCGCAGGAACCAACGTTGCTACTGTCAGCATCAATACCACCAATGACATGCCAATTGTTTATCCACCCTCCCTGCAGGCTCTAGGATTAGTTCCTTTTAATATTAACCCCCACTACCTGGACCCAGACATTAAAACAACTCACATGGGTGTAAGTAAAGCACACCAGAACTAACACAGTAATCAGTGTGTGGAGGAGTAAAAATAGTGTGCATTTTTGAGGCCTTACAAAGCTACAGAATGTCAAACAGTTGCTCCCTAGAGAAACTGGAAATGCCAATGAGGTAGTAACACTTCACTTCTCCTAAAACTTAACTTGGGAAGAGGGGTTGGCAACAGTATTACTGAACAAAATCTTTTTCACAAACAGAAGCTCTGCAATGTCTGAAATACTGCTTGATATCTGGCATGAAATGAGGGAATTAAAAAAGATAAACATGAAATGTTAAAATGCAAAGTACTGTGCTTCTGGAAAGTTCTATCTTACCTGCTACTTGGGGAGACCTCACTTAAACATAGATTAAGAGGCTTAAATACCTAAAGGTCTGAAGAAATTATCAGAACAGGGAGATCTTGAGATTGATACAGTTGTGTAAGAAAATCCCTGGGCACTGGTGTCCTTGCAGGGACAGCTTGTAATGTCCAGTACAAAGCAAGCATATGCACTAGTATAGCTGAAAGAAAAACACTTCAGTCATCAAGCACAGAGACACATTTCCATACAGTGGGGAGGAGCTCCTTCTTGAAATAGCATGTCAGCTAATTCCTCAGGGAGCAATCTGTGTGGTGCATCTTTTAGCAATCTAAATACTTTCCTCCTTGTAATCAATATTGCCTGGTTAGAGGAAGTATTAAAAGTTAGGGAACAATGAAGAGATGGTGGATGCTTCTAGATGGGTGAAGAGATGGGTGTGCTTCTAGAATTTAGATGAAGTTGTAGGTATTCATTTAATCAGCTTGTCACTAGATAAGCAGGCAGTCTTCTTATAAATAACTTCCCTTTCTCTCCAAAGAGGCTGGAAGCCCTGTGTAACAAGTCCCTGCTGTGTTCTTGTGTTTTTCTTCACCGTTGCTCAGTTCAGCAGCAAACCGCAGGAAACATGACAGAGCTACTGACAGAACGAAATTGTTCAATGTAATACCTACTTGAAGATAAACAAGCAAATACTTAAATCACTAAAAATCCATGATTCACTACTCTCTTTCACAAAGGTGCCACCTCAGGCATTTGCTTCTACCACCTTCCTGGTAGTATTAGTACTATCTCTGCACACAGATAGTACTAATTTTATAAAATTGATTGAGTGGAAGTAAGTTTTAAGGCTTTTCAGGGTTGGGATTATGCGAGTTCTGTTTGATCAACCTGCAGTAAATTGCTGCTAGTGACCAAGGGTAAAACACATATCTATTAAATAGAGTCAATCCTGCCATACCAGTCTGCTTGAGGGGAAGTGCCTGCTTTGTTAGGAAATTGTTTGGTGTCATGTTGCCTGGATAGCTCCAAGTCCTACCTTATGGTCTGGGAAGCTAAATCTGTGCTCATTATTGCAGGAGACAAGAGAAGAAAGAATCCGCCAGTATCATGAAGAACCAAACACCCCTCCAGTTCTGGTGAGCTCTCCATCAGGAAGCTGTAGCACGATAAACATTTTAAATGCATTCATGCTAGCTCTCAGTGTGGGTTCCTCGCCTGTCAAGACATACAAAACCATGGACTGGAATGCTAATTGTATTCTTGCTAAGAGCTTGAGCCTTGGATATTGCTCATTGTAGAAAATGTGGATTAGGGCCAATTAAATGCATGCTCCTGTTAGCGTTGCTCAACTACGCAGCTCTGATCTTCCCAGTCACTGGCCACCATATACTGCGTGTTGGGGGTAGTGTGCATGCAGATGGTACAAAACTCCCCTTAATCTTTTTGCAGATACTCTTAACTTCTGTAATGCAGTTTCTGAATTTGCACATTCAGTAGTGTATACGTAATTTCATTATGTCTGTCTGGGGAAGTGGGACCTCTGTTTCCTGTCCCTGTGTTTGATCTTGTGATATAAAGTTTGTGCACTAACAAACCCAGCTGGCTGTTGCTCAGCCCAAACTGGATCTAAGAATAACTGTGGGAAAAACCAGTTTCCTCTCTTCCTTAGTGATTTCTCCTTTAAGAGTGAAAACTGAAATAAACAAGAAAATCAACTTCTAAAACAATATAACTCACCTATTTTTGTCTTTACCTCTTTGTTAGGTAGGCAAGAAGGTTTAGTCTGTAGTCATGGAGCCACTGAGACTGGCCTGCTTGTGACGGCATTCTACCCTTTCACATAGCTTGAAAATAATTTTAAATGTTTCCACATCCACCAGGGCTTGCGGGAAGGGACGATGCTGTTAGTGGAAGGAGATAAAGCCACGCTGCAAGGAGTGACAGGAGCGCGTCTGTTTTTGAGGTAAATGCATCACTTGAATTGATATCCTCCTTCAGACAAAGGAAGAGAGGCTTCTCTTAGACTCCTGGCACATGCTGCCTGTCTCCCTCATCAGAAGTTACTTAATCCCTTGGTTCCATTTCTCTTTGGGGAAAATGTGAGTATTGTTTAATGCTCCAAAGGAGCCAGCAGTATGACGGCACTCCAGAGGATGTCTGATTAACCCAGTGCATGCTTTGGCACTGCATCCATTGCTGCTTATGTTTCCAAATTCTAGTTACCTTTCACAGAAAGAGCCCCAATAGTCAGCTCCTTTATTGAAAGCCAGGGAAATAATAGACTTGAAATCATAGCCAGTTTGGCCCTAATGCACTGAACTCCAGAACAAGGGAATCCATACCTAGAATTACATGGACTTTATTAACAAATCTAAAATGCATGTCACATGATGGGAGTCAAAACTTAGCTTGTTCAGAATAAAGGTGCCTTGATCTATCCTTAGTAACAGATAGAAGCAGAGTAGTCCCACCTCCCCATTAAAGCTCACAGCATGGTTTCTCTTGTTTGCAGGGGTAAGAAACCAACTGAACATGAGCCTGGAACAGATTTCAGTTTCCTCCTGACTGACAGCAATCCCCTGAATCCATAGCCTTCCATATTCTGCAGCAAAAGTTATATGTGGGGAAGACAATGAGGAAAAAGGAAAGAGATGGCTGTCATCTCAGGGTGGGTGGGGAACTTCAGCTTCATAAATAAAGAAATATGCATTAGTGGGCTCTTGTCCTCACCCCGATGCATGTCTCGAACACTTCCTTCCCAGAAAAGACACTTTTTATTGCAGTACTTGGATAATAATAAGTGTTCAAAGCTTGAAGAGGCCTGTACATTCACATGTCCACTGATTGCTTCCCCACAAAAAAAAAAGATACCTTAACACAATTAAGATGGGACACTGAGTCGGCTGTTCCCACTGCCTACTTTTACTTGCTACATAAAAGAATTGTTCATTCAGTGTACTCCCACACTTAGTTTAATTTTTGTGCTATTAATAAAGGGAGAAGTTATGCATTCAATTACTTTTATTTGCTTCAGACTCATGTTAAATATATACAATGCTAATTATGTACAAAAGTGTGCATGTTAAAAATTTTCAGGTTACAAACTTGCAAATCCTAGAAAAGTGCAAAATTTTAAAACATCTTCCACCATGCTGTACAAGAAAAAACCCATCATTAGCCAATATACACACTCTTAAAACATTGATCAAAACAAAGTAAGACATACAGTTTACTCTTAAAGCACCCAGAGGGGAAAAAGATATTGCACAGAAGACAGCAAGTTCATTACAGTGCCTGAAGGCTCATTTCTGAAAGTAGCTATTTCCAACACTCCTCAGACCTAACATTTAACTCATTAAAAAGGCATTTTTTGGCGTTTAAAGATCCATTTGTAATCATGTAATTGCACAATCTGTAAGAATTATCAGAAGATATGGTTAACTTTGCTGTAAGGCCTTTGCTTCCACCCCCTGATTAGCTTCAGTAAAAATTCATCAGGCAAACTGAGTAGCATCACAGGTTCCATTAGAACACTGACCAAAGGGAGGCAAGTCTCACATGCAGCATTTCTCTATTCTCCTACTAAGTTATCCTGCAGAATTGGAGTATGTACTGCAAGCTTTTCTTGAATTCTTTTTTCTCCCCGTGGCTTTTTTTAAGAAACAGCTCACTGCTGCATATGACTAAAGTAGTACTGTCAGGTGCAAGACTTGCGTTTATTTTAAAGCTATTTCAAGGCAAAAAATATGGCTCCCTTGAGAGGAAAATACTGACTAGGTAGGAAGCTAAATAAACAAGTGGCCTCCAAGTTCAGTTAGATACATGATATATATGGCTGGATTTTTTATATTCTAATCTCAGAACACCTTAGCAGCTTTAAACCATAATATGTACTGACAATCATGCTTCTGGGACAGAAGATGTGTGATGAAATTATGCCTGTGCTGAATATAAGCATAGACCTGAACTCTGGAAATACCTGCCAAATCTCTCAAGTCCACTGGACAAAACTAGGAAGAACACACACTGAATGAACTCTATTGAAAACAAGTGAAACACCTATTTTATTTGGACCACTTAGGTAAACGATAACTAAAATAAAGACACACCAGTCTTCTTCCACAGATGCATGGCAAAAAGGTGAGTTAAAACTGAACAAAGGCTACCTTGGACTATGCACTGCAAGCAGTTTCTCGTGTATGGGGTGTTCCAAGACTGCAGTAAGGTGAATGGCACTCAACTGAAATGCAGAGCATGCTATGGTGCCACTCAAGCACTTTTACATTCAGGCATCTGAGATCCATAACACTGAAGAAGGGAGCAATAGCATTTTGCCAAATTTAAATGGTAAATTTAAATTTACTTTTAATAGTAGCTTTTTAGAAAACTTGCTTCCTTCAAAAGTATGTGCTTACAAGGGCAATTTAATAATGGTAAGATTGGCTCCTTGGAATGGAAGATATCTTCCAACCACTTCAGTTGACTTTTACACTGGCATACAATGAACCCACATGCATAGGATACCATGGAAACCTACTCTCCCCAAAAAGAGACTACCAAGAAGTGTCATGTTTGCAGCCAAAACCAACACAGCTTTTAAGCCAGAAAGCATAAAAAGACCTAGAAAGCATTGAAGCACATGCTTGAATTTCCCTTCAAATAAATACAACCCTATGTAGTACTTTCACATAACAGTATTTATTAGATCAGGCCCTAGGCTCACATTAGGATGTGCATTTATATGTGCACACTTTTTTTAAAATTCATTGAAAGGGAAAAAAACATTCACAGCACCTCAGCTCAGCATTTAACATAGTCAGCAAGGTGCCTTTAGCAGTGGAAGACAGGAATGTTTCAGGTGACAGTACAGAGCATGTGTCTACAGAGACTCAATATAGGAGCGGAAGAAGGTCAACATCTCTACACCCCTTCTAGCTCTAAAGCTCTCTACCATTCTATAATCTGTATATAGATACACATTTTCAACTAATTACACATACACAGCATTTGGTTCCTTTACTTATCTCTTCTAATGATTTTGTTAATAAAGATTGGGAAAGGTTTGCAAAGGACACAAGGAGGAGAAAGACATGGTTTAGGGAAGTGAGGTATACAGCTCCCATTGACTAAGGCAGGAGTTACCAAATCTGTGCATTACAAAAATAAATTTATCATTCCTGCAGGACTCTTTTAAAGAATTTTTACAGTGCAGAAATGTAGTTCTTTGCACTTATTTAAAGGACAAAGAAATACAACTTCCAAGGGGATCCTTATAAGACAGCAAATTTACCTGGCTATTTAAAGCCTGTGAAGACTGATAAACCTATTTTGTGATAATATTCATGATCTAAGGTATGCCAGAGAGGAAAAAGCTTGTGCAAATCAATATTGCAGATCAGCAAAACAACTGTAATATGGATGTGGGTGAGTTTGGGTTTTTTTTGGAGGGGAAGTTGTGGGGG